AACACCTGACTCAAATTTGCTGGCCTCGGGTTTGCCCTGCTGAGGTCCGAGGGGTCCTGAGTGGTCACTTCGCTGCCAGCGCCCCCCCCTCGCCCTTCCCTGTTATCATGCTGGCTGCTAGGCATGCTTGTTGTGCACGCCATCGCAGCATTGCATTGGGTTGGAAAATCGGTGCGGCTCAGTTCAGACCACGCATCTGCGTCAGTGCTTAGCCTGGCGGGAGAATGAACAGCTTCAGACTGCCTAGCAACAGGACTCTTCTTTCCTACTACGCTATGGCTGCAACTGATAGTTGGCCTGCCAGCGTCCTCACGTGCCTGGTCCTGGTTGGGACGTCGCCTGGGCACCTGCTGCGAGGTCGCTTGGGTCACATCTTCTCCTGGGACGCTAGCTTGCGGCACTTCATCACTGGAACGAGTTTGCCGAAATACGTCCTGGCACGCTTGCTTTTGATCCCGTCTGGCACGGGCCCTGAGCGGAGTCACCTGAGTTTGGATAGTGGGAGGCACATCGGGGTCATACGTTCTGATGGTTACTCCCCCCATATGATATTCTTTTTCCCGTTAGATCCAGTCACGCTGTGACCAGCGCATTGCCCATCTCGAAGCTGACGCTGATGAGGCACATCCTGTTGTTGACATGGTCCTTGAGCGGCATGCCTTGTTGCCTCATCTACCAACGCAATGCCATCCCTGGTATCATTGTGGTATTTGTAGTGACCATCTCCATATATCCAATAATCTGAAGATGTGACTTCATGGGCACGTTGGGGTGCTCCGTGGCCTAACCCCTCGCCACGCAGGGGCCTATTGCGGTCTAACCCCTCACCGCGCTGGGGTCCCATGTGGCCTCACCCCTCGCCACGCAGGGGCCTGCTGCGGTCCAACCCCTCATCACTATGGGGTCCGCCGTGGCCTAACCCCTCGCCACGCTGGGGATCGTTGCGGTCTAACCCCTCACCGCGCTGGGGTACTCCGTGGCCTAACCCCTCGCCACGCTGGGGCCTATTGCGGTCTAACCCCTCACCGCGCTGGGGTCCCATGTGGCCTAACCCCTCGCCACGCAGGGGCCTGCTGCGGTCCAACCCCTCATCACTATGGGGTCCGCCGTGGCCTAACCCCTCGCCACGCTGGGGATCGTTGCGGTCTAACCCCTCACCGCGCTGGGGTACTCCGTGGCCTAACCCCTCGCCACGCTGGGGCCTGCTGCGGTCTAACCCCTCACCGCGCGGGGGTAAGCCGAGTCTCGTACTGCCCCCGTCCTCGGTGCTACTGCCCACTGGCACGGGCGAGGTCCCCCGACTATGCCACTCGCTGTGTTCGCGGTTCACGTGGTATCCGCGGGCCAAGCCCTCCCCCTCGCGTTCAGTCCGTCGGTTTCCCAGGGTATGGGTCCGCTCTGTTAGTTGCGAGGTCCTGTCCACCACACTGTTCGTCAAAAGTTCCGCGTCATGCTCACTGGGCTCGTCAGGGACCTCCGCCTCTAGCCTCTGCTTGCCTTTGGCACTGCGGTCTACCCCCTCACCGCGCAAGGGATTTTCGTGGCCTAACCCCTCGCCACGCAGGGGTTCCACGCGGTCTAACCCCTCACCGCGCTGGGGAAAATCGCCGAAAATCTTCTCCAAGTCCCGCCGCAGGTCTGTGTCGTCGTAATCTGCCGTCATCCCGGACTGTGCAATCTCTGAGGGGGCACGAAAGGTAGCGAATCGCACCCGTGGCGAGACACCATGAGCCTCCTCTGTGGAATGCTTCGAGCGATGCGTCTCTTCCACCTTCCGCGTAGAAGAATCTAATTGCATCATGCTGGTGACGTCACTGATGTCGTTGTGTAGTTCTTCCGCTTCATCGTGCCCTTCCTGTTGTTGCTGCGGGGGTGGTATCCCCACTGCAGTTCCATCGCCAGCTCGGCGAGCACGATGTGCTGCAAGCAGGTGCTGCCAGACCTGTGGAGGATCGTGTACATCCTGTGCGAGTATTTGCCATGCCGTCCTGCCAGTTGGTTGGCCTGGCTGCATGCGATCAACTGCCTGACATTCCAAGTCATCTAGTACTTGCCGAAGTTGATCTCGCTCTAGATCCACGTGTTCTGGAACTTGTGCACGTAGTGCCAGCTGCGCTCGTGCTCTGCGCAGGCAAAGTAGTCCGCGCAGCGTCTGAGCTCGACACCTTCGTGCATCTACTTCCGCCTCACGCCGTAGTCGCTGCACAACTTCCTTTATATGTGGTTGCGCTGTATGCCATGCTTCATTGCATATCTGCTGAGCCATTTCAGCCAGATCCTCCTGAGGGTTGCGGCTGTACTCTGGCCTTTGTAGTAGATCGCTTGTGGCTGCAGGTATACACCAATAGAGCCAGTCGTTGAATGCCACCTTCGAATCCCACATAGCTTGCTCAAAGCTCCATGCCCGTGCCGCGGTGGATAACTTATAGCGAAGTTCTGCTCGCTTGGCCTCGACTTGTTCGTGCCGCGGCTGTTCTGGCTCAGGTGCAAAAGGTGCTGTGCAGCTGACCTGGGCCTGGCACTCTTTCATTGTGTAGTACTGCTCCTCGTCGGCGTCCTTGAAGGAACATTCATCGTAGTTCTGGGTGTTCTTCCCCTTGCCAGTTTGCCTTTGTCCAGGCTTCTCCGCACATGTCCATTGCCATTTTCCGCATGTCACCATGCGTACTGGCTATCTGGCTGTAAATAGGGAAGACGCACATGTCGGCCATGATGTGTGGAACGCTCCACTTCATCCAATCTTGCTGCAACTTGTCCGTGTTGGTCCATGTTCTTACTCTGATGCGGAGGTACTTCTTTAGCCTGTTGACGTAGTACCTTGAGGCATACTGTACATGCTCGTTGCATATGTTTATGGTAGCCTCAGACTGCATGAGCACCACATTGTCATTGTCATCCGAGCTTCCGATGTCGCCGCCTTCGTCACTGACCTCTTCCCCAAATAGCGGTATCTCCACGTCAGGGTTTGCGCCAATTGCCGTTATTTCTGGTAGTAGTGTATTGCCCACCTCGCTTTCGGGTGGATGGTCCATTTCCAGCATCGGCGTGGGCCTGTCTCCTATTTGAAGCAATGAGGTAGTGAATATTCTCCTATACGTAAGGACGTCAAGCCTGGTGATGTAAGTATCAACGTTTTGGTCATTGCTGATCTGAATACTTTGCATCCCCGCTAGGCGCTGCCGTGCTTGTCGTAGCTCTTGTTGTCTCCGAGGTACCATATGTAGCCATTGTATTCGATCGTTGTCGAAGAGCTGGCGATATTGCCGAAGAAACTCCTGCCTGGCTTGGTGCCCTGAGTACCAAACTCTATCGCAGATATCTTTGGTCATGATACGTCTTTCATGATATGTGGTCCATAGCCTTTGCAGGCTTGGACCTTGTCTCAACATCATATCGACCAGGGGTAAACACCACGTGTTCCAGTCAGCCTGGGCCTCTGGCGGTGACCAAACTGCAGCTTCTGTCGCCCAATGGTCAATTTCATCCTCAAGCTGATTTGTAAGCATCCATCTGGCCATCATAGCCTGTGCTTCCTCCACTGTACCCCTGCACACTGCGCACCGTGCCTCAGCGTGCCCTTCACGTCGTCGAGGCTCTCGTCGCCGTTGCTGTGAGCTGAGGTACGCCATGATGCAGTAGTCACTGTTGTTAATGTAGCGCGTGTCCTGAGGGTGGTATCCGTCCACGTCCTCGTAGATGCGGTGCTCTTTGTGCATGAGACTGACTTGCCCTGTTGAATCATCCTTTGTCTCGTACTCATCCTGAGCGAGCTGCTGCAAGTGAGCGCGCTTGATGGGGCTTATGAAAGCCTTTTGCCATATGATGACCGTCGTGCCCTGGCGGTATACCATGCCCTGATCCTTGAGCTCCGGATATAATTGAGCATCGACTTGATGTGGTAGTAAGTGTATCGGGGGCTATCCAGATTGATGCGGTAGCAGCTGCGGAGATGACCTTGCCCTCCCGCAGATAGATCCAGTTGATGTCTCTGCCACCTGAGTGCATCGAAGCCCTGGAGGATGCACTGCTGCCATTGCTGCTGGTCGAGTTCTTTCATAGTTTTTAATGCTCGAACTTCAGCTGTCCTTCTGCTGTCGCTTTCATCCCAAGCTACATTGCAGACGGCCTTCGCCAACAGTAGTGTCCTGTGCGTGTCGACGTAGCCTTCATCATCCAAGACCGAGTCCCTGAGCCCTGGTTGACTGATAATGGCTGTGCACACGTAAGGTGTGCCCCATAGTAGCCAATCTGTCCTCGCAATATCCTTGCTGCTCCAGGCCGCCTCCGCTGTCCATGAAATGGCACTTGCCCTGAGCTTCCCTGCCAACTGCTGGTAGGATGCGTTTCCAACTAAGCCTCTGAGGGTCGCGTTCACGCCTTCTGCGTCGGAGCAATGACTGTTGGAGAGCACGCGTCCTCCATGGCAGCGGCCTGAGGTTCTTCCACTGCCAGTGTTTTGTGTGCAGCTGGATGTGGGTCTCCCTCTGCCAACCTCTTCTCTGCCGCTGCGGCTGTTGCATCGCCCTTGCTTGCCCCCTTGGCTGAGAAAGCTGCCATTGTAGCTGCTCCGTGCCCTTGGAGGTGCGCTCCTGGTAGCAGGCTGATTGGAGGCCCTGTGCAAGGGAAAGCCTCTTGCCCTGGGGAGCAAGGTTGGGTTGGCATCAGCGCTTGTGCCTGCTGGCTGCTGAGGACTGGCGTCTCTGGCATTGCCCACATCTGCGTGGGTGATGGGTACCCTTGAGAGAAAAGGGGCCCCCCCTTCGGCGGCGGCGGTGGCTGCTGGGTCTGTGATGACAGAGGCGTTGGTGCCTCTGCCGCTTCTCTCGCCACTAGCGCGGCTGCCGACGCTGCTGCCGCTGCCTCTGCCTCTGGTGTAATGAAAGGCATCGCCCCTCTCATTGGCACACTTGCTGAGGCTTGCACCAGTATTGGGCTGGCTGGCTGTGGCTGAATCGGCGCTGCAGGCTGCACCGCTGAATGATGTCCCGCAGCGGGCTGTCCATCCGCCGCAAGATTCATGGCGGCTCTCAAATTGGCGGCGTAGTGCTCCCTTTGCATGCGCTGCTCGTGCTCGTGGGCCATCTGCCTCTGCATAATGAAGGCTTGCTGCGCCTGCTGCTGCACATTTGCCTGCTGCGACATTGTCGCTGCCGCTGCCGCTGCTGCCTGCGCCAAGGCCACTGCTCCCGTGGCATCTGTGGGCCACGGGGGTGGGTGCGGTCCTGCTGCGCTGGGCTGAAATTGCGGCCCAAGCGAAATGCCGTTGGCCTGGATGACCCTCTGGAGCTGAAAGATGGTGTCTTGCATCTGCTGCTGCTGCACGTACATCTGCTGAACCTGGCCCGTGTTGTCGACTTGCATTGTAGCACCGTTGTCGCCCGTTTGCACCGCGGGCTGCAGGTCGATCATCTCTTGGTGGATGCGATCGTCGATTTCCGATAGGGTTTCTTTTAGCTCGTCCAGCTGCTCGATCTGATCCATCTCCTGTGTCTCCAGGAGTGCCAGGCGATCCCTGGTGCCTTTGAGCGCTATCTCCACGTTGTTGATGCGCTGGACTGCCTCGTTCCGCTGCTGGCTGAGCGGCTTGAGCAGGTTGGCGCAGTGCTTGAGGACCGCCATTTCTTCTTTTGTCTCCTGGTCGCTCTTGCCGGCTCTCTGCGTAGCCAAGCAGATACTGCCCAGCGCCTCGAGCTTTGTCCTCAGATTGTCCTTGTAGGCCTTGATGCCCGTGTGGTATGGTGGCGGCTGCCATTCCTGCCAGAGGGGATGCGCCACTGCTTGACTGTGCAATGCTGGCGGTATTCTGCCGATGAGCTGATTGACTTGTCGCTCCTGGCCATATTGCTCTTTGACCGGCGGACGTGCCTTTGAGCGCGGCCTTGACTGCGGCCTGCCTTGCACCGTCCTGGGCTGTGATCTGCCCCGCTTTCGCTGATCCTAGGATTCGCCGCATGCCGAGCATGACCAGGACCAGGGTGCACACTTTATGCCACACTTGCAAGTCCAGCCGCCTGCTTCCATCTGGGCGCTGCCTGAAGGGCGCCGTGATGAATGGTGTTCCTGCAGCAGCCTGGCTGCTGCTGCCACCCGTAGTAGTGATCTGGCTTGTCCGCGCCGACGGCGCAGATGCCTGTGCCAGGCTGGCTCCCGCTCGCGGCTTCGCGAGCGGCTCGATCGAGCGCGGGCTCCAGCGGCAGCCGAGCGAGGCGTGGTCTCGCTATGGCGGCCGCGCGGCCACGCTGGGGTCCCTGGCCGATGGGCTGCCCTATGTCCCGCGGGCTGCCCTGAAGCCAAGACGCCTCTCCTCCTCCTCCTCCTCCTCCTCCTCCTCCCTCCTCCTCCTCCTCCTCCTCCTCCTCCTCCTCCAGTTCCTCCTCCTCCTCCTCCTCCTCCTCCTCCTCTTCCTCCTCCTCCGCCTTTTCCCGATCATCCTGCGCGTCTTCCTGCGAATAACAAACGACTCGTGCAGGCAACTTGCACGCGTTCGAAATTCTGCCACTAAACTGTTTCTGGACTTCGCCCAGGAGGTCCCGTGCGCGGTCCCGCGGCTCCGAACGTGCTGGGGCGTTCCGCAGCGCCCGCGGGGCCCAGACTGGCCCTCTGGAGGGCGAGCCCACAATCAAGCCCACTGGAAGATGTCAAGCAGAGTAGGGGCCCGTCCACAAGAACCCTTCCACGAGAAACCCAACCCTGAGACCCCGGGACGTCCATGGATGTGTGGTGTGGGCACGCCGCGCGTCCCACGGCAAGACCCTCGAAACCCAGGAAGCCCGGGGCACCCTGGAGGCAAGCAGGGCGTGCCCTGGCACGGGCCCCCGCTGCACGCTGTGCTGCCCCGCCCGAGGCGAGCTCCGCGAGCCTCCACGAACGTCAAGACCACGACCCAGGCGTCGCGGAGGAACAGCACGGACTGGAGGGCCGAGGTCGGGTCCCTGTAGGCCAAGAGGCGGATGATCCGCACGACCGTCGGAGACGGCGACCTGGCCTGCAGCCCGCTGCTGCTGCTGAAACCTGCCGCCGCGATTGCTCCTGGCGCTGCTGACGTTTACTGCGGACGTCTCCTCCCCAAAACATTCAAACAATACTCAGAAGAGGTCCAAAAGTGCTCAAAAAATAGTCCCCAAACTATTATTTGACTATCTTTGAATTTTCCCCATGTAGAGGGACAGGCCCGACTTAGAACGAGCCCCGCCGAGCCCGAAGCCCCGGGCGCCGCCGCGTCTTCACGCCTGGCGCTACCCCATCCCCACCACATCCCCTTCTGCAGCAGACCATCCTGCGCCACACGAGCTGGCCCCAGCGGGGGCAGCCTGACTGCGCAGGCTCCGGGCGCCTGCAGGAGCGCGCACGCCTCCCTTCGACCCAGCCGCGTGTCGTCCAACTAGGTTCCGCTGCACACCGCACGCGACGGGGGAATGGACGTCACCCCGCGTGCAGCCGAGACGAGCACAGCGGCATGCCACCGACCAGTGGGCTACGGCGCCACTCTAGCCCTTGAACTGACGTCCGCCCGCTGCGCCATGGGCGCGCCCGCCCCTCAGTAGATAGGTGGATGCAGGAGGCCCCGCTCGAACTCGCAGCGCAGCTCACAACCCTCCATCTCCCGACGCCATTCGCGAGGCACGCCCCGACACACAGGCCAAAACAAACAAACATACGCCCGGAGACGTGTGCAATTCTACTCCAAGGAAATCCGCTGGCCCCCTTGCGGGGCCACCAGGCTGTAGACCAAAGCGTGCTACTCCCTGCACCAGTTGCAGTTTCAAGTCTCCAGTGTTACAGTCCTGCTTTCTGCTTCCTATTGAAAATGGTTTCAGTCCGCACGAGGGGGGGAGCCCAAAAGGATCCAATGCACCACGCCTGGATCGCGTTCTCTGAATTCATGGGGGGCCGTGGGAAATGTAAAAATACATGAGATTCGCGTACCCGAGGCCATAATTCTTCGTAAATTGCGCAATGCTCGCGTCCCCGAGGCCACCAACCCTTTCAAATTACCCAATTCTTGCGTCCCCGAGGCCACAAACCCTAATAAGTTAGACCGTATTCGCGTCCCCGAGGCAACAAACCTTCGCAAATTACTCAGTATTCGCGTCCCCGAAGCCAGAAGCCTTCACAAATTACGCCGTATTCGCATCGCCGAGGCCAAGAGTGCTCCAAGGCGCCTGAAGACGGTTCCAAGACGGCCCAAGAGGGCCCAAAGAGGCCCCAAAAGCGCTCCAAGAGGCCTCCCGAGAGAGCCCCAAGAGGCCAACATCGTAGATTGTACGAAGGTTGTTGAAGGACTTTGGCCTTCTCGCATTTTCAGCTTTCCGACGCTCCAAAGACGGCTCAAAAAGCTCCAAAATCGCCCCAAGACAGCTCAAGACGCCTCCAAGAGGGCCCCAAGACGACCCAAGAGGGCTCCAAGATGGCCCAAGAAGCGCTCAAGACGGCCCAAGGGGGCTCCAAGATGGCCCCAGGGGCCCGAGCAGGGGAACACGAAGCGAACATTCGACAGTCGTGCCCCGAGAAGCCCCCAGAAGGACCCAAGAGGCCGCCGAGAGGCCCCAAGAGGCCCCAAGAGGCGCCCAAGACGCGCCCAAGAGGCATCCAAGAGGCCCAGAAGTTATCCCACGAGGCCCCTAAGAGGCCCCCAAGAGGCGCACAAACCGCCTCCAAGAGGCCCTCTTGGGGCTCCCCACGACACCCCAACACATCTACAAGAGGCCTCTGACCCACAACTCAAGCACGGTGGCGGGATGGGCTGAAGGCAACTAGGATCCGCCGCCCCCTGTTGACTCATCACAGGGGTGCCCGGCGTGCCGAATCCGTTCGCTTTTGGTTTTGGTTCTTCTCCCAGAAGAACTCTCCCTGGGGCTTCGGCCGGTCCCGCCGGCCACCCGAAAGGGACCTCAACGACCGCAAAAATTCTCCAAGACGGCTCAAGATGGCCTCTAAGATGGTCCCGTTGGCCCGAGATCGCCTCCAAGATGGCCAAAGATGGCGTCCGTTTCGCTAAAGATGGTCCAAGATGGCTTCGAAGACGGCCCGAGGGAGTCCAAGATGCGTTCAAGTTCGTCCAAGAAGCCTCCAAGACGGCCCAAGATGGCTCCAAGATGGCCTACGACTGGCAAGGAGGCCCCCAAGAAGCCTCCAAGACGTCCTCCAGGAAGGCCCGAAAGGGCAAAAATTATTGATGTTCCTTAGGTTGTTGAAGGCTTTGGGCATGTTCTTCATATCAGCTCTCCGACGGCCCAAGACGGCCCAAGAGGCCCCCAACATCGTCCCAAGAGCGCCCACGAGGCCTCCAAGGATGGCGCCATGACAGCCCAAGAGGCCCCCAAGAGGGCCCCAACAAGAGCCCAAGACGGCCCAAGATGGCCCCGAAGACGCCCAAGATGGCCTCCAAGACGGCCAAGATGGCCTCCAAGATGCCACCAAGACGGCCAAGAAGGCCTCCAAGACAGCAAATATGGCCCCAAAATGCACCCAAGACGGCCCCAAATGGCCTCAAGATGGCCTTAGACTGCCCAAAAAGCCCGCAAGAGGCCTCCAAGACGGCCCCAGAGCCCTCTAAGACGTCCGCCAGGAAGGCCTGAAAGGGTCAAAATGGCCTCCAGACGGCCAAGATGACCTTCAAGATGCCTCCAAGACGGCCAAGATGGCCTCCAAGACGGCGAAGAGGATCTCAAAGTCCACGAAAGATCCCTCCAAGACGGCCCAGGATGGCGTCCAAGACTGCCCCAAGACGCCTCCAAGATGGTCAATATGGCCCAAGATGGCCTCCAAGATGCGTCCAAGATGGCCAAGATGGCACCAAGAGAGCCCAAGAGCACTCCAATGTGGCCTCCATAACGGTCCAAACAAAAATGCCTCCAAGACCGCCAAGATGACCCAATTGAGCCCCAGAGTGCCTCAAGAGGCTCCCAAGAGGACTCTCCCTCCCTTCCCCTTTTTCCTCACTCTCCTCCTCTTCCCCGACCTCCTCCACGGGTTCCCCGAAGGCTTTCCAAACCGATTCGGGGAACACTCGTTCCGAAAACTTGACACAAATCTGACCCAACCTTCGGCCAGCAGGCCCCAAGACGCCTCCAAAAGCTCACGAGAGCCCCCAAGGGGCCCCGAACACGCCCACTCCTCACTCTCCTCCTCTTCCCCGACCTCCCCCACGTGTTCCCCGAAGGCTTTCCAAACCGATTCGGGCAACACATGGTCCGATAGCTTGGCAGGGCTCTGGCCTCAACGTTCGGCCACATGGGCGCTTCCGAAAGGGCGGGGGGCGGCGGTGCCTCGCAGTAGGCGCCTTCGATAACGCCCACGTCTCAATATGCGCCGATGATCCCCATCCGCCCCCGCATGGAGCTCCCAGATGCGCCAAGGCAGCGCCGAGACGCACCGACGCGACTCGAGTATATCCCCTTCTGATAGAGAGCGGGCCGGCGGCGGGGGGGCGAAGCCCTCACGGATAAATGAAACCACCGGTGGACAACCACGGTGGCCATCGGCAAAAACCAAATTTCTCTGGCTACACTCGGGAGGGGGAAAAAAACAGACACAATTAATCGTCCACTCCACAGAAAATATGGGAAAATATGGGAAGTGTGGGGGAAGACAAAAGACCCAAAAATGTAGGAAAATATGGGGAACCATTTTATGTGCGTGTATTTGTTTGTGTGTCCTTGGGCCCCTTCATACACGCAACAGAGGCCGCAGGCACGAGCGCCATCCCGTGCGCGGCTTCAGGAGGAGCGCGAGGGGCCACAGCCGAGCGCGCCAGCCGCTGCTACCGCACCTCGCACGGCGATCGGGGAGCACCCATGGGCCCACACCAGAGGCCACCCTGGCGACGGGTCACTCTTGCGTCTACCCGCGGCGACGATAGGGGCGAATAGCCCAGGGGCGGGCACAAGTGTTCGCCTGGAGCATCGCCGAAGGCATGGACCATCCGCGCCCCTGAATACACGGATTGCTCTCCCCTGGGCTATTCGCCCCCATCGTCGCCCCCGCGTGTAGTCGCTTTCTGCTCGAGTCTAACTTTTGCCGTACGCCTCGGCGTCGCTTTTTCGAGGCTGGCCAGACGGGTACTCTGCCAAGGATCGGTGGACCTGCCGGCGGTTCCCGGCCGAAGGCCTCGGCTCAGCTCCGTCGAGAAGAAGAGCAGGAAGGCGAGGTCCACGAGGATCACGACTGGTGGGCGCGACAGCACCGGCGTCGACTCGTAGTTCTCGGCCATCCAGAAGATCCAGAACACGTTCAGTGCGGTCACGAGCCATGTCAGAATTCTCCACCAGTAAGCCTGCACCTCGGCGTCTCTCCGGAGGTCGGTGTTGGCCACCCAGTCAGTCGCCGCCGCCGCTGGCCCAGGCGACCCCGTTAGCCAACGGGGAGTGCGGCTCTGGTGAAGGCCACCAACGAGAGAAAGGCGCAGTCCGTCTTCACGATCCTTCTGCAGCAAGGGCTTTCGCGAACCCCCCCAAACCCTGATTCAAAAGACGCGAATGCGTATTGGTCGAAAGCAGGCAATGCCAGAGAGGGGAGAGGGTAAGGGATGATGAAGGAAAATTGCACCCTGGCGATAAAACCAAACCTATCAGTGCGACAGCGCAAAACGAGAATACCCCCCCGCAGTGCGAGGGCGGAGAGGGGGAGAAGGTGCAAATGAATAAGGGGACAGCGATGGACAGGGATAGGGGCAAGAATGCTTGGCCCCCTGGCAAGGAGCCAAGTCAACACGTGCGGGAACGGAGCGCCCTCCGCACGATCGCATGGTCATGCCGAGTAATGGTGGCGTCATTGCGCGGCCTCACTGCACGATCGCAACGGAGCAAGCTTCGGCACACGCCGACAGCATCCGATCCGCCGATCGGGGGTCTCTTGAGCTCCGCGCCAGCCTCCCGCACCAGAGCCCGATATGTGCCCGTCTGTTGAACTGGCCGGAACTGGGTCCGCTTTTGTCTAGCGCGTCCCTAGGCAGAGTCCTGGCAGCCACACGTGTCCACGCGTAGGTAAACGCTCTGTTGGGAGCACCGCCTGAGAATTCTGGGGGACGGGGATATCAACCACCCTCGGTGCAGGGGGCATCATGCGCACTGCTAATCTTCTTGCTGTGCCTATCTCTCTCTTTCTCTCCGCCCCTTGCGCGCCCCAGGGGGAGCTCATACCGCCCGACGTGACGACCTCGTGCTCACGGAAAGCGTGGTTGGCTGAATGAGGCACCGTGGAGGTGCATTCAGGAGGGGAAAAACACACAGACACAATTAATCGTCGATTCCTCCGAAAAAGATAAGAAAATATGGGAAGTGGGGGGAAGACACAAACCCAGAAAATATGAATAAATATGGGGAATCCGCCCCAAGTCGTTCCAGACGGCTGAAGAGATGCGGGAGGCCCCCAGGACTGGCCAAGAAGGACTCCAATAAGCTCCCGAGGGCCAACCAACACGGAAGCCTGCAAGCACTGGCCACACCTCGAGTGACAGCACAAAAGGACGCCATGGGGCCCCATCCAATTACCTGGAGTTGCCCACTCATATCTGCCTGTGCCTGGCATATATCGGCAACCGTGCCGCCAGGCACTGAGCGGGGCGTATCCAGGTCCACGTGACTCCTCGGCATGGAAGAATGTCAGAGTGAGGGGGCCGAACGGTCATTATTTGTCCCTTGGTTCGTGGCTGAACTGGGGATGCGTGGTGAGGGTCCTGTTTGTTGCGTTGTTGTTGTTGTTGCTGCTGCTGCTGTTGTTAGTGTTATTGTTGGTGTTGTTAGTGTTGATGATGATGGTGTTGCTGTTGCTGATGTTGCTGCTGTTGGTGTTGGGATTGGTGTTGGTGCTGTTGGTGGTGTTGTTGCTGTTGCTGCGGTTATTCGTGTTGTTGTTGATGGTGGTGGTGGTGCTGTTGTTGTTGTTGCTAGTGTTGCTATTGTTGTTGGTGCTGGTATTGTTGTTGGTGTTGGTATTGCTGTTGGTGATGCTGTTGTTGTTGGTGTTGATAGTGTTGGTGTTGGTGTTGTTGATGATGTTACTGTTGCTGCTGTTGTTGTCGTCGCCGTCATCGTCGTCGTCGGCGTCGTCGTTGTTGTTTTTGGTGTTGCTGGCGGTGTTGTTATTATTGGTGTTGTTGGTGTTGGTGTTGGTGCTGTTGTTGTTAATGGTGGTGGTGTTGTGTTGTTGTTGGTGTTGTTGCTTGTCGTCATCCCACCCGCGACCCACCCGCGACCCACCCCGCGACCCACCCTGCGACCCACCCCGCGACCCACCCGCGACCCACCCTGCGACCCACCCCGCGACCCACCCGCGACCCACCCCGCGACCCACCCCGCGACCCACCCGCGACCCACCCGCGACCGATTTGCGACCCACCCGCGACCCACCCGCGAGGTACCCACATTGGTTTAACGAAAAAATCGGCGCCTGCGGCGGGCTCGATGTAGAAAGTGTGAAACTTTGGCGCCTGCGGCGGGCTTCAGAGTCTCGCAGACTGCCGACGTCCCCACCGTCCCCTCACTCTTATCTGCATATGCGGGGCGCTACGTCTTCCCTTATAAGGACCCACAGCCCTGAGTAAGTACAGAAGCCCCCAAGAAGGTCCAAGGGGGCCCCGAGACGGCCTCCAGAACGCTTCAAGACGCCCAAGATGGCGCTCAGACGGCCCAAAAAAGCTCAAGACGTACGAAGAAGGCTCCAAGAGGACCGCCCCGAGGGCCCAAGGGAACCACGCATCGCCCCATTCCCCTTTAGGAACGCGCGCATCCTCAGCATTTTCGCGTTGGGGGCCTGCGCGGTGCCCCCAAGACTACTGGCCAAGAGGCCCCCAAGATCGCCCCGGTACGACCCAGGAGGCTTCCAAGAGGGCCCCAGACGGCACAAGTGGGCCCCAACACGGTCCAAGAGACGACCCAAGAGGACCCCGAGAGAGCCCCAACAGTGCCCCAGAAGGGGAACACGAGCTGAGATTGCAGGCCGTCCGCCCCCCCCCCAGATGCTCCCTGAGAAGCTCACCGCAGTTCTCCGAGAGAAGTTCGGAAACAAACCACTAAGTATACACGTAAGACGCTCCAGAGAGCCTTCCGATTGCTACCCAGATGAACCCCGAGGCCGTTTTCTTCCTTCTTCCCGCCCGCATGTTGCTCCCCATGCATCCCGCGACCATGAAGCGATCGAGCGACGAGCCCCCCTCGGAAGAACAACGGGAGGTTCTTGCTGGGTTTCGGCCTGCAGGTCCTCACCAAGAGGGCTCTGACAGGCCCCCAACACAGGCTCCGAGCGAAAGGACCCGCGAAGGCCTCTTGGTTGACTCCTGTCGTCGTCGCACTGCACGCCCCGCCCTCCCTCGACCCGAAGCCCGAGCACGGCGGCGGGATGCACCGAGTTCGTTGAACGAGTGTGGACCCGTAGGTAAAAGCCACGGAGCTGGGCGGATCAAAGCTGGGTGGCCCACGCTGGATCGGGCGAGGCTGTCAGCCACCGCCGAAGTTCCTCTGAGGCTTCGCCGGATGCTTCCTCACCGAGAGCGCCCACTGCACTGACGCGGGGGCCGAGGTGTTCGAGCTTCGCGAAAGCACTAAGCTCAAGCCCAGGCCAGAGCAGCGTTGGAAGATTCGCGCCAGGGGCGCGGCGGACGCGCGAGCGGGCCGAGGCGAACGCGGCGCCGTCCCTGGCCGCGTCGGAAACGCCCGAACGGCGTCGCGGCAAAGTGACGATCGCAGCGGGGCAGCGCGAAGCTCCGAACCAAGATGTCGCTGCAAATGTTGCGAAACAGTGCCTCTTTCACTCGCCGCCGATCCCACGGAGCAACGCTTCGTCGTCGTCGCCGCCGCCCAAAAGACAGGTGTCCATGGCGACCAGAGCGTCAAAACTGCTCCTCTGCGGCCGCCGGGAGCCTCGCGCCCCTCGTTCGCCCCCCCCCCTCTCTGGGAGTGGGTATTGAAGCCTCCGGGGGGCCGTTTGGGAGCCGGGAATCTGCTCTCTTCGGCCTCGTAGGCCCCCTATCGGGGCACTCTTGGGCCGTGTAGGGCGCGCCCTGGGCGGTCTGGGGGCCGTCTTGGACCATCTGTGGCGGCTCTTGGGCCGCCTGGGGGCCATCTTGGGCTGCGTTGGGCCCCTCGTTTTCCCCACTCATGGTCCTCTTGGGCCGTTTTGGGCGCCTCTTGGGCCAGTGTAGGGCTGTCTGGAGCCATCCTGGAGTCCTCTTGGGGCGATCTTGTAGGCCCCTGGGGCCGTCTTGGACGCTTCAAAAGCAAACAAATGAATAGGTTGAAATTAACAATTCCCAAGAAGGGAATGCGACTATGCGTGTTTGATGGAGCACTCGTGAAGGGTCCCTCAAAACTCTCTGAAGGCGTTTTAGAATACACATACGCATGCACATACACATACACATACAAATAAGCATACGAGTACATAAACGGATCGATGACTCTGCATCTGGATGTAGACATATATATGTATGTGTATATATATACGTGTGCATGCACCTAATCATATGCATAACCGTGTTCATGTGCATATACGTAAACACAAACATGTATATATATACAGTTACGTATACATATGCATATGCCTGAAACTATACAGATACATATACGTACATATATATATACATATACACAGCTACCCATACATCTGCATATACATAACCGCATACATATACATGGTTATGCATATATATAGAACCTATTTTTTACTTATACATAAACACACGGATGTGCATATGTGTATTTACATATACATAAACATATACATGTATACAGTCATATGCATGTAAACACACCGTTGCATATGGCTAAACATGTGCATGTAGATAAGCGTATGCATGTGCATAAGCATTTCCTTATAATGTACATGTACATATACATATATATACACATATACGTATGCATCTGCATGTACGCATGCATGTACCTATATGTACATGTGCATATACGGATACATGTACCTATGCATATACATATACGTACACATAATCAGAAGCATGTATATGTGTAGGTGTGATTGCCTGTATCTAATGGACATATACAAATACAGAAACACATACCCATACACGTACACATACACCTATACATGAGCGTTACACTGAGACCTGTGCATACAGTTATGCGTATACAAGTGCATACGCATACACACATACATACATACACGTGTACAAGAACACAAACACGACACATGCACATACGCATACACATACGTATACCTCTACAGATACAGGTACCTGCGCATGTACAAATACAGATGCAGCTACACCTACATCGAAATATGCATGACCATAGGTAATGGTACATGTGTGTATACAGCTGATTGCACACGAGCATACCCATATACAAATATGTATATGCGTACACACACATATGCACGAACATGCAAATATATAGTAATATACGAAAATGAAAGTACCCACATATTCATGTACAAGTAGAAGTAACTGTATGTACACATTTACAGATACACATGAACCTACATAACCAAAACATAAATATATACACATAGACACAAGCATATACGTATGCAAAGTATACATATGCATACAGGTACGCATGTACATACACATGCACACATATATAGATATATATATATATATGTAATTCAGCACATACATATACAGACGTGCGTGCAAATACGCGTTTGCATATACAGTTTCAGCAACCTATGCGTAAACCGCATGTTGGGGGAAAGCGCCTGGAAACCACGGGCGGGACCCCTGCCCTGGGCCGCGCAAGCCACCGCAACCCATACACACGACAAATACATCCACGCTCGCGAGCAGCGGGGAAATCTGCATGCCTGATCTGCGTCGGGCTGAACATCTGAGACATGTTGACCATCATCGACTGGTCGATAGCAGGTTGCTTTTCCTTCGACGGGAGGCAATGTTGGAGAATGGCGATGGGAGGGGAGTATGAGGAGGCGGCGACAGAAGCGGAGGGGAACGGGGGATGGAGGGAAATGACGAGAATGCTAGCAGAGACGCGACCTCCTACACGTTTATCAAAACTGCATCGGTCGACGAGCGTTCGAAAAAAATGCTGAAGCCAACAGACCGCAGCTCCCAGAGAATGGCGAAGTCTAGCTCAGGTCTGCGTAGGCATACGGGAGGCGGAAGGCGGGAGGGGAAAAGGCAGCAGCGCTCTGCTCAAACCAGAATCCCAATACAAGAAGGTTGGGGAAACATGAGCATGATTGTGCCGCGCTCGTACAACCACAGCCAAGGTTCTACCTATCACCATGGAGGCGGCCATGGACACGAGTGGTTCCAGAACTGTTTTTGGGCCGTGCTTCCCGCGGCTAGGTTGTTGCACGTTCGCGACACGACTTACGCTGAAAACAGTATGAGCGGAGCCAATTTGCCTTCAGCAATGAGAGCGCTTTTGAGGCATACCCTACTATGAGAAACAGCAGACATAATCGACCTCAACGACACAAGGCTCTTGAAACGCGTTGGTATGCGGGAGAAACAGAAAGTGAAGCACAAGGAAAGATAAAGAAAAAGACGATGGGAGAGCAGCCAACAAAAAACCTGGCCTGTTCGACTGAGCCCAGTACATGCCAAAACCAGTTGTGGAGCACAGGGGAGGCAGAAGTGGGATTTGGTCGCCCTGAAGGAGGCGGGAAAGAGAGAAGGGAGGGAAGGACGAGGCGGGAAGAGAGGGAGAAAGGAAGCATCAGGGGGAAGAAAAGAAGAGAGGGAGGCGGCGAAACGACCAGTATCGAAGCCACGCGCTATATAGCCACATACGAAGTGGGCATGACGGCTGCGCGATTCTGGAGCGAAGAGCCAGACGCCATAGAGAACCCATCGAACGCTGCCACATGCCAATGGACCGTTGGTCCTCTTCCCCTCATCTTCCTCCAGCACCACCCTCCGTAGCCTTCTGGTCCGTTTGCCTCTTCTTGTACTGCTTGGAGGTCTCCCACCGCAGCTGCCCGGTGTGGATGCCTTTCAAGATCCACAGAAGATTCCGCTCGAGCCACCTGCAAACGTAGGCCGAGGAGATCGGGACAAGTGGGCCAGCATGGATTCACCAAATCAGGCTCTCTCCGTCCATCCCTCCCTTTCCTCCTCTGCCTCCCTCTCCTTCTGCTCCGTTGTCGTTGAAATTGGGGGTGTGACAACCGCAGCAATGCCGCCCCCCCCAGGATATCGTGCATCGAGTCTCGCATCGCGGCCTTTCACCCTTGACTTGACGGCGTGCACCCGTCCCGTTCCCTCTGCTCCCGGTCGGCGGGAGAGCGGAGTGTCACGGGTTGTCCAAGTCGTGGTACCCCTACGGTGCCCCGACGGTATGTTGCCATCTGGCAATGCCCAGATGGTACCTCGATTGGCTTTCGATGATGCCCTGACGGTGTCCAGATTGACGCTCGGTCGTGTCCCCATGGTGACCATTGATGTTCAATAATGTCCCAACAGCGTCCGAATTGATGTTCGATATAGTGACCCATGTGTCCCGATTAATGTTTCGCTGTACCCTGATGACGTCGACAACCCCACCAGCCCTCTGGGCGCGAGTGGTTGAAAGCGTCTCCTCTCCCAACCCCAATTCTTCCCCTTCGGGGACGAGTTGATCACTGCTCCAGATTAATCTGCACCCCCTCTCCCACACGGGCGGCGACAAACCTTAGACCATGCCAAATCCCCTCCAATATCCCTTGCAAAAGACAAAACAGAATGCACTTTGCACCAGAATCTGGATCATTTGCGGACGCCCCGCGATCATTTGCATAGGTTTTTGACAGGGACGGCGGGTTTACCAGTATGTTACCTATTTTGTGCGATGCCAACACCTCCTCACCATCCCTGTCAAAAAACAATTCGAAACGCACTAAGATGTCTCCCGCAGTACCCAAGACGCTCCAAGAGGCCCCAGGGACTGCTAAGAGCCTCTAAGACTCCCCAAGAGGACTCCAAGATGCTCTCGAGGGGCATCACAAAATACTCCGAGAGGCATTCAAGAGGCCTCTGGCCTTTCTGCTCGCCCTCCTCCTCCTCCTCATCCTCCTCATCATCATCATCATCCTCTTCCTCCGTATCCTCCTCCTCCTCATCCGCCTTGTCCGCTTCCTCCTCCTCCTCCTCCTCCTCCTCCTCCTCCGATTCCTCCTCCGATTCCTCCTGCCCCTCTTGGGATATTACGGCTTCCTCAGCCCGTTGTTCCACTGCCTGCTGATCAAGAGCCCTGCAGCTCGACAGGGCATCGTTCCTGGATGGGCTGGTGGGAATACTCGAATCGTCTAGAATTTAGTTTCGGAGCTGGCCCAAAAGTGGCCATGTCATACATATGATGGTGATACCACAAACACTTCGAACAATACGTGCGAAACGAGCTGCTAGAACGCGGGAGCCGCACGCGAGATCCAGCCCACCCCTGAACTCCTTATCGGCCAAAAGCACGTTCGCTGTGTATCCGTTGAATTCCTCCCATAAACATATATGTGAACGCACTTGTGCGCTTGGCGATGCATGGTTTGCATTCCCCGCTGGCACCCGAAAAGGCTCTCGTCGCCCGTGCGCCTGACTTTCCGCTCATTGCCCGAGGTGGGATCCAGCTGGATCATGTCGGCGAAGAAAATCTGCATGGGAGTCTTCCCGGTCTTGCCGGCCTTCAGCCGCACCTCGCAGCTGGCAGCTCGCTGGGGGACCGATAAGGGCACGAGGGACAAGGAGGAGGGAGGGAGGTCGGTCGGACGCGGCATTACAGCAGTCTGTGTGCCAATCATGGGTTGACTCTTACCCATCGGTCGGAAGAAGTAGGTAGAAACCTGAAGTAGGAAGACGTTGAACGTAGATAGGGTGTCCGCCCGCCCGCTAAAGAGGACGGGAAAGGGTCAAGCCACTCGATCATTGAAGTAAGAAGGCGCTGAAAGTAGGTTGGAAGCTGGGAATCCACAAATACCTACAGTGCGGGCGCGGCCGCGAGAAACCCTCGCAAGAAACCCAGCCCTGAAAACCCGCGCGCGGGGTGCACCCGATCGGAATCCCGGAACACCCTGAACGCATCAGCTTCTGCAACGGCCGCGGGAAGTCGCCGCGCAGCGCGCGGAGCGAAGAATCCCAGGATATCCTGACGAAAAGCATATGGTTTCTTGATGCGCGCCCCCACTGTCCTTTCAACGACCGATGTGAAGGGGCCCTGGGACATACAAATAAATACACACAAATGAAAAGGATTCCCCATATTTCCTCATACTTTGGGGGTTGTCGTCTTCCCCCCCACTTCCCATATGTTCCCATATTTTCTGGGGAAGCGACAATCAATTGTGTCTGTGCGTTTTCCCCATATCCTAAGATGGGGTTCTTGTTGTTATTCGGACGCCGCCAACTCCAGAGAACCAGAGAGAACACATCTACTCATGCACAGACTTACTCATTCTCAGACCTACTCATACTCATACCTTCTCATGGTCTGACATACTCAACACACAAAATACAGGCCTACTCATGCTCAGACTTACTCATGCTGGGACTCCTTCGTACCCAGACTTACTCATACCCTGACTCGTTCCCAGACCTGCTCATACACAGACTTACTCATACTCAGACCTACCCATATTCAGACCTTCTCATAGTCTGAGTTACTCAACGCACGGACTGAGACGTACTCATACTCAGACCTCATCACACTCTGACTCGCAAGGGGAGCCGCAAGGGGTGTTTTCATGGGCCCGTTCGCGGCCAGTTTGTGGGGATGTCTCTGGCGGATTGCTCGTTTTCATGCCCAACATCCTTTGCTTTCAGAGCAGATTGTGAGGATGTCTCAGGCGGGGCGCTGGTTTCAGCACCCCTAAGGGAAGCCGCCAGGGGTGTTTTCACGGGCCCGTTCGCGGCCAGTTTGTGGAGATGTCTCAGGCGGTTTGCTCGTTGTCATGCCCAACATCCTTTGCTTTCAGAGCAGATTGTGAGGATGTCTCAGGCGGGGCGCTGGTCTCAGCACCCCCAAGGGGTGCCGCCAGGGGTGTTTTCACGGGCCCGTTCGCGGCCAGTTTGTGGGGATGTCTCAGGCGGTTTGCTCGTTGTCATGCCCAACATCCTTTGCTTTCAGAGCAGATTGTGAGGATGTCTCAGGCGGGGCGCTGGCTTCAGCACCCCTAAATGGAGCCGCCAGGGGTGTTTTCACGGGCCCGTTCGCGGCCAGTTTGTGGGGATGTCTCAAGCGGTTTGCTCGTTGTCATGCCCAACATCCTTTGCTTTCAGAGCAGATTGTGAGGATGTCTTAGGCGGGGCGCTGGTTTCAGCACCCCTAAATGGAGCCGCCAGGGGTGTTTTCACGGGCCCGTTCGCGGCCAGTTTGTGGGGATGTCTCAGGCGGTTTGATCGTTGTCATGCCCAACATCCTTTGCTTTCAGAGCAGATTGTGAGGATGTCTCAGGCGGGGCGCTGGTTTCAGCACCCCCAAAGGGAGCCGCCAGGGGTGTTTTCACGGGCCCGTTCGCGGCCAGATTGTGGGGATGTCTCAGGCGGTTTGCTCGTTTTCATGCCCAACATGCTTTGCTTTCAGAGCAGATGTTGAGGATGTCTCAGGCGGGGCGCTGGTTTCAGCACCCCTAAGGGGTGCCGCCAGGGGTGTTTTCACGGGCCCGTTCGCGGCCAGATTGTGGGGTTGCCTCAGGCGGTTTGCTCGTTTTCATGTCCAGCATCCTTGGCTTTCAGAGCAGATTGTGAGGATGTCTCAGGCGGGGCGCTGGTTTCAGCACCCCTAAATGGAGCCGCCAGGGGTGTTTTCACGGGCCCGTTCGCGGCCAGTTTGTGGGGATGTCTCAGGCGGTTTGATCGTTGTCATGCCCAACATCCTTTGCTTTCAGAGCAGATTGTGAGGATGTCTCAGGCGGGGCGCTGGTTTCAGCACCCCTAAAGGGAGCCGCCATGGTGTTTTCACGGTCCCGTTCGCGGCCAGTTTGTGGGGATGTCTCAGGCGGTTTGCTCGTTTTCATGCCCAGCAAGCATCCCTAAGGAGAGCCGCCAGGGGGTAGGACACGGGCCCGTTCGCGGCCAGATTGCGGGGATGTCTCAGGCGGTTTGCTCGTCAGTGCGCTGATGAACAGACGATCACTATGGCATGACAGAAAACTATGGCATGACAGAAAACATGAGAGGCACAGATGGGGAGCTCCACGCAGTGAGTAAATTTTTCCCTCGTGAACAAATGCCTACTTTCAACGACCGATGGGCATTCCTCCCATAGGTTCCCATATTCTCTGGGGAATCGACGATCAATTGTGTCTGTGTTTTTTCCCCTCGTGAACAGATACCTACTTTCGACGACCGGTGGGCATTCCTCCAGAGCCAGGGCCAGAGCGGCATGCGCGTCCCTGCCCGCCCGTCCCCCGAAGCTCGGGTCGGGCGAAAGGGGATAACAAAGGGGAGCTTTGAGAATCAGCTCACGTAGCTGATTTTCCCGGCGCCTCCCGACGCCGGAGGCGGCTATGTATCGAGGAATGGGCCCCTCGGTGGGGCCGAAACCAATTGCATGCAGCAGATTTCGTAACACCCCCTTTCCCAATCCCCCCCTTTCGTCCGGCCCGAGAGGCGAAGGGGGGAGGGGGGCACCGAGCACCGAGGCAGCAGTGAAGGCGCCCCAGGACACACAAATAAATACACACAAACTAAAGGATTCCCCATACTTTCTCATATTTTCTTGGTGTTTGTCTTCCCCCCCACTTCCCATATGTTCCCATATTTTCTGGGGAATCGACGATCAATTGTGTCTGTGTTTCTTTCCCTCGTGAACAGACACCTACCTTCAACGACCGATGGGCATTCCTCCAGAGCCAGAGCCAGAGCGGCGTGCGCGACCCTGCCCGCCCGTCCCCCGACGCGAAGTGGGGAGGGGGCACCGAGCCCCGAGGCAGCAGTGAAGGGGCCCCAGGACACACAAATAAATACACACAAGTTAAAAAGATTCCCATATTGTCTTGGTTTTTGTCTTCCCCATCACTTCCCATATGTTCCCAGATTTTCCTGGGAGTCGACGATTGAGTGTGTCTGCTTGTGTGTTTTCCCCTCCTGAAGCAGGGCGGCCGATGGGCACGCACGACGGCCGGGCGATCGGCACGGCGACGGCCGCGGCAGGCAGGCAGAGGGCGGAGGGGGAGGGAGAGGAGGGCTGGCCTGGAAGAGGAGAGAGCGCCACGGGGAGGACGACGAGGAGGGAGGAAGGGAGGGAGGGAGGGAGGGAGGCTTGGACGAGGGAGGGAGGGAGGGAGGGGAGGGGGGCTGGCCTGGAAGAGGGGAGAACGCCACAGGGAGGACGACGAGGAGGGAGGGAGGGAGGGAGGGAGGGAGGGAGGGAGGCTTGGACGAGGAGGGAGGGAGGGAGGGAGGGAGGGAGGCTGGCTTGGGCTTGGGCGACGAGGAGGGAGGGAGGGAGGGAGGCTGGCTTGGACGAGGGGACAGCGCCACAGACATACAGTCGGACTTGATTGGACAGGACGCGCGAGAGGGCACAAGAC